TTTCTTTTCAAACAGCCTGTTAATGGCACTGAAATGCAACAAAAAATACGTACGTGCGTAATTAACCATGTCGTAGTCATAAAACGTATTCTAGCAAAACCATTTGAAGCACCTCGTCACCATTCCACTCGTACGTTGTAATTTCAATCAAGCTTTACACTTTTCACCATAACGTGATTTCCCAACGAACGTTTTACTACAAACATAACATTTATTTAACGAATACGCTAATGCCAATCCACTACCTGTGTTATTTAAGTTAACCTAGTTTTAAATTCTTATTTACTCCAGATCCTATGCCAGTGTTTTACAGTGTAAACAGATCTCTAAAGGGACAATATTTTCTTTGGCGTTATTTATCTGCTATAGCATTCACGTTCTAACCCTCTCTTTCTCAGATAAAATGTTTACTACGAGATATCACAAGGAAGCGAGTTCCACCTCGTGCATAGCCCTCGAGCAGACACACCAGACCACCACAAATCCTAACCAGACACACTTACGAAATATAAAAGAGCATAAAGCTCACTACAATTTACAATACAATTTGTTTTCTTTGTCATTCAGTTCTATTATTTTAAGTATTTTTCGTTTGCTGTTGGGCTTACAGTCTGGGTTATTAATTTGGCGAAGGAAGCATACAGCTATAACATTTTACTGGGTCTATAAATTCCCTGACGTGGCGATGGAAGTCGCTGAGACGTCTTGCCCAACAGGTAACAAAGAACATTGCATATTTATCTCACAGCATTTACAGCTATCCTTTAAATCCAACATCAGTTGATATGATTTCGTACAGTGGGGCTTCCAGATGTGAAAGGCGTTAATGACACTTGGGAGACTACACGCTGTTTCACATTAAAAAAATGTTTGTTGTCTGCCATCGAGTATAACAATCGTGTGTTTCAGTAACTGTATTCAAAGACGTTATGGGGAATTTAGATTTCCTGTTATGGAACTATAGTATGTGACAGACAGCCCGTCGCATAACCACAATGCTCAGACGACTTTCAGTCGATTTCACTACACTGTTTGAGTAGCTTAAGTTTTTTATTTTGCGTTCTTTGCAAGAAGTAAATAAAATTAACACATAATGAGAAGTTCGGTCTGTCCGTCTTCTACTTTCACCTCCCGCACCACTGAACAAATTTTGATTAAAATTTCGAAAGGCGCTTACAAGTTCAGTTTTCGTTTGTATCGGTCCAACTTAACTCCTTTCTTACTCGAAGCTGAGATCGAACAATATCGATTTTATCAAAATCGACTTGTCTTATAAAAGAATGTATCGTCGCAAAATATACACCTTGTAGAGATATAACTGGGCTCTTTAGACAAACCTTCAGGCTGCGCAGCAACTATCAGCTTTTCAAGAAGGGCTCTGCTTCGTGGAGTCAGTTACCGACGTCTTAGGCTTTAATTTTAAATATTATCGACGTGGTGAATATTTAACGAAATGCAAAGAGACTGTTGGCCTATTCTCTGACCTCAATCTGACGTAACTGTTTATCAATCCAATAGCGTATAAAAATCCAAAAAAAAAAGGGCTACATTTTAAAATGGGTGTGTACTTCCTTGCAACAGCCTCACTTCTACAATTTTAGATTTTGTAAAACTGTGTCTGTCTTGCACATTTCGCTTTAGAGAGAAAGGATGAAGTCTTGCCGTGTGTTTATCTGGCTACAGGATTGCTACATCTTCTCTGTACTGTCACTGACCAAATTTGGAAGCAATATTAACAAATGTGTCACTTCAAAAAAACCAGTGTTCTCCATTGACCCTGAGAAAAAGGTCCTGCTTCTCAGAGCACATTATTGTTTGCATGCAGACGGCATTGAAGTCAAGTTTGTTAGCCTCTGGATATTGTTGGAAGTGTCTCACTTGAACAACTTACCATTTCTCTGCATGAGCACGGTGACAACTTGCAGGAGAGAGGCAGACGGTGGGGTGAGGCTTATAGAAAACAACTGCCAAGTTGCAGCTGCGACCACTCCATCCCATAATCCATGTAAAATATAGGCAAGGCAGTGGTTAGGAAAACCAGCTTTGAGTCCCTTACATCATCTCGCATTTATATAGACTTCCTGGCTCAGTTATGAAGAATCATAGTTTCTGGTCTTCACACAAACAAAATGCCGACGATTAAACGCTCTCTGACACGCCAGCACTGGTCCGCGACGCCATTTACACACGAAGAATGTAGCTGGAAGGGGCTGTGAATGGCATCACCAGACCAAAGGCAGATCCATTGCTTCTAACTGCGACAAACTTATCACAGATGAATTATAGCGCCTTCCTAACGAATTATATACATTGTAATATATTCTAAGAACCAAATTATATGCACTATAATTTGTTTCATAGTCACATATAAAAGCAGGCGATGAGAACCTTCACTATTATGTGTGTGAACGCTGAGATATATCGACTGTGTATTTATAAATGAGGAGTGTGATATGTTACATGCCGTATTTCGTTAGAAAAAGGCGATTGTATCAGCCTACAAAAGAGTTTAAGGACCGCGAAATGTTGAAATGCCAATTTGCCGTTGAGTGACCGCTGCTAAGAAAAACACTAGGTGACAACACATTCGCAGTTACAGTGTTTGATTATAAGACGATTATACCGGTAAATGTTTCCTTTCCGAAAAAAAAAACACCGTGCTTTCTTAAGAAAGTTCCATTTTCACATGTTACGGAGTTGTTAAAAACAATTATTCTTCACGTGTTTTGCACTGTTGTTACCCTTAAAGGTTAACCGTTACGCCAAACCTATACCATATCCCTTTTCAAAAGCAACAGATTCTTCGTGCAAATGAAATTAAGATCGACTGCAATAAATAATAAAACTACTATCGATAATTTTCATTAATTTTGTTTTCTTATGTGTTGCAACAAATTTAACATGTGCTGTATTTTAAACTTGTTATATGACAAATAATTTATTCAGCAAATGAAAACACATCTTAAATAGCATTTCACGAAAGACTTTCTCAGTGTCAAAGTTGACACTGCTTCCACATGACGAAGTTTTGTCACATCTCAGTCTCCAGACTATTCCTTGCCTTCATTTTAATTCTGGCCAGCTTAAAAACGAAGGCCTCACAGTCAGACGTAGTTGAAAAGGGGTGGGTTTGAGAGGTCTGTTGGGATCGGAAATTCTAAACCAGTCTTTTTCCAAAAAGATGTCAAATCTCGATCCTAAAAATCTTTTTACACTTTGTTATCTTCTCGCAGACCAAGGAATTGTGCTTTTGTCTTGACATTTTTGTTTTCGATTACTTTAACCTTTGCTATTCTATATCCGGAAAGCATCCTCTGACTTATTCTGTTACCGACAGTAAGAGTCCGACGTCTTCAGCAAATGAACATTTCCGACTGTTTTCTTCGCGCAATTCTCGATTCTAACTACATGGAAACATCACCAAAATCATCCCTCTGTCGGTAAAGCTGAATGTTACTGCGAGACTAACGTTAATTGTATTTCCTTATCGTGAGAGAATTAGACAATTAATTTCAGTAAAAAAAGGATTAAGGTAATCGATTTTTATAACGAATGTACGGTAATTTTATCACAAAAGAATTCTTGTTCTTTAGAAAGTGTGTGTCTCGCTGCAAAATGATACTGCGCAGCTTCGAGAGACTGTGCGGAATAAATATCAAAAGTAAACCCGATTAGAGTTTGACACATCAATGACCATACCCATGCCTTTATATGACTCGAAATACTGAAATTAATTAAATAACAATAAAAGTCTTTCTTCAAATCTCTTACTATAGGCTGTTTTTACATGTAAAGAACTGACAAATTTGTAGTTTTAGCGTAGCTTGTCTGTTGTGAAGCAGAAATAAAGGTGTGATGACATTTGTTAACTGTATACGTATCACTCCGCCCATACATAGTTTGTCTTGCGATATTAAAGAATATAAATATTTCTAGTGCAGTTGATACATGAATGCTACATTTACACAGACTCAGCCCATCCCTAAACTGAGCTAATGGGCCTAATATTTTATACCAGTATCTGAGAGTAATAAGCATTTGATGCAACATATTTTATACGTGAAGCACCGCTATATGTGTGTATCTGACATAAATAAATAATATAAAAGACGTCTCTTTAATGTTCCAGACACAGGTAGATTCAGCTTACGACTGAAGCCCCAGCAGAGATCTAAAGAAGGCGAATAAAAGCTAACCAATGTCTAAAGTCAACAAGTAGATAAAATACAGGCTTCACAAGAACGCCCTGCCTATTTTTATGTTTAAGTCAGGATGACTATAGAGCAACAAATAACTAGAATCAGGGTTGACCATGATTCGAGGAAATAAAGACCACAAATTTGATAAAATAATCTAATACCAGTTTGGGAAGTCTGAACGTGTACTTTTTCGGCACCGCGTAACAAAACTCAGACCGTACATCTGTTCGGAAAACAAATTCTTCCTGGGATTTCAGGTTCTCATGGCGACGATTATGAAGATGGCTGTCTTCTGGGTTGTAGACGTTTACCCGGCGTTTCAGATTTACTTTAGATGAGTCATCGCCCTGATGACGGAGGCAGCAAGTACCTCTGAAACATTGGTAAACGTCTGCCAGGCTACACGGTGCTACAACCCAGAAGACAGCTATATTCAACAAATTCTTAACATGACTTCTAAAGACCTACCACGGCTGGCGTCAGCCTATCGCAATACAAGCGCGGGCCAGTGCCTCGAGCCAGCAGATTTCAACGATTCACGTGGGAGCAGTAAGGCGTGCGAGATTTCCTGCCTTGTGCGTGGAGTGTCACAATTACGAAAGTTGTTCCAAAACTAAAACACAAACAAGCTTACGAGCACACGTGAAATGTTCACGAATGTAAGCATTTCACTGGCAACCGTTTAGGGGGTAAGAATACTTGTTTCAACAGCGAGAAGAGAACACTGGGTCTAGTGTGCAAGTACTTGTAAATAAATGCAGTCTCTATGTATAATGTTTGGTACTTCATGTAACGCCGGTCTCTTTCCTCAAAAATTCATTTCGGTTCCAGCCACCAACCGAAAATAAAACAAGCAATTCTTCAGCTGCTGTAGGTTCCAGACGAACACTACCACTATTATTTGATTGCGTGAAAGACAGTTTTAGTACTTACATTACGAAGGGACGAGAGAAGCAGAGGTCTGCAGATCTGGTTTGGAAGAAGCCATTCTGCACGTCACGACATCCGAAGTTGTTCGTGCACTCGCCTAAAAGAAGACAGGAAACTGAACTCGAGTTGTGTGTGAGACTAATTTACTTTAAAGAAAAGCCAACTTATCCCAACTTGTGTCCAGAGACGAATTAATGTAACTGGCAGTCTGAAGGTCAAGGAACAAGCTGTAATCAAATAAAAATCCTCTTAGCTGTAACTAAGAAGACAGCAGTTTAAAATCAAAAATTCTGTACTCTGTGAAATTTAAATCCCGAGCTGGGATCACCTGTCAATCTTCCGAGTGCTTGGTGTGGAACTGATTAAAATGCCAAAATACGTAACGACAAGACAAGACAATCTGTGGATTTTACGTCTATTTTACAGACTGGTACCCTACCAAAAGTAGAGAATTTTCTTTTCGCTGAAATTTTAAAGGGTACAGCCATATATTCTATCAACAGGATTGATATTTTATTGATTCTAGAGAAATGAGTGTTCAGGGTGTGGATTTGATTCATCTGGTTAAGGACAGGGTTAGGTAGCGAGCTGTTGTGAACGCTATAATGAACGCCGTGTTACATAAAAGACAGGAAATTTATTGACTAGCTGAGTTGGGACCAACATTTTTACAAAATTAGTGATGTATATATCTTTCAATGTTACTGGTTTAAATAAAAAATACTGAAAGACTTTTATGACGCGGAAATGTCCTACAGAGTCTAAAATACGTTTGGATTTTGACTTATTTCAATACGGTATTCTTTGTGTATAAATATTAACAAGCATAAATAACAAGTATAAATATTAATGTGCAACGCTGTAAATGAATTTTCTTTCAAGCGACTGGAGTTATTAATGTGCAACGCTGTAAATGAATTACATATATTTAAGTTGCAAGTGAATCAATTATTTATTCTCAAAACTCCAACCTACGATGTCCACAATAATTTTTGTTCTTGCAAAATTCGGCAAAGTTTTTGACGCTTCTGCCCATCTACTGTCACATGACCACATGAGCCAATCAGCTTCAGTCTCAGCTCGGACAGCAGTGTTGTTCATGTTAAAAGTAAAGCTGTTTCACTATACGCCATGTAGGCGCTTCGGGGGGGGGGGAGAAGATATAGCTCTGACTCATTCTTAACCTCGGCACAAGATGGGGTGAGGTGTCAGCATCACGCCCCGGCCGGCTTTACCCCCGGGAAAGGATCCCGGTACCCATTGTAGAGGAGGCTGGGTAGGCCCCAGAGCCGGTCTGGACGCAGAGGCCAGAGGAAAAATCCTCTGCCCCTGGCAGGGATCGAACCCCGGTCGTCCAATCCATAGCCAGTCACTACACTGACTGTCTGTGTTACATGCGAATATTGTGTTTATGGCACAAGGTGTGAAACAAATTTATAGTAATGAAAGGTGAACGTCGTAGGTACGGGTTTCTACGCGGGCAGGCGAGACGGTTGGTACATAAAGCATTCTACTTCTTAAAATACAAAGCAGACGCCGACGACGTGACACTCCACGACGCAGCCAAACGGCAAGACACTTCTATAAATCTCTCTGCGCCACGTGCCGATGTCTATAAATGCCACCAAAGTCTTACATTAAAATGACGTTTTATTTTAAAATGTGATTCATGTACATTAATACTTATCCCAGTAGGAGAATGCTTCGTATCGTCATAGATGACTCGACCTGGATTCATAAAAACAGAAGGCCAAAAAGCAAGGTTTGGTTACAAAATGGTCCGAAATAAGAGACAGGAACATCGCTACTTGCTTCGCGGAGGCCTACTGACCCTGACCTACTATTTGATGTAAACATGAACCAGACTTCCAGACACATGCATGCAATTAATTCTAATTTGGCGCTGGTCCATCAGCCGGCTGAAGGAACAAGGTTCCAGATCAAGAAACAGGTTTTGCCATTTACATACCGGGCGTATGTGTAATTGTTTTCGCACTTTAGGTTAAGTATTCGGTACTGCTTATTGGGAGCGTTCGGAACCCTGTGGAGTTCCAGTTAAAACTGTTCCGTCTACCCGTCTGCACGCATGTAAACACCCTATAAAGACTACACTCGTTTTCATGAAATGAGTGGAACTTTATTACGAAAATTTCATTACCAGTTTTCATTTATGAAGATGATTTGTTCCTGCTCGCGGGCCACCGGTTGGAGAATTCCAGGCTGCCGTTGTTACTATGGTTTACTTGGCTCCCATGGTTACGTTCATCATGGTCGTTGGTTACTATGGTTATGTTGGGAACTCCATCTAACTACACACACAACTCAAACGTCAGTGGCGCCTTTCGCAAAGGTCAAACTTCTGGAAACACCCGGAACTGTTATGCTATGCGTACACATAGTAACTTGCTGGAAGTAAGAAATTAAAGTTCGTATCCTTAGACCCAGGCAGAAACCTAAATTCATAGTTGACCTACATATTTTCTTCAAATCTGTGTCGAAGTTTACGATATTAAATATGATATTGTATATGTACGATATGTAGTAATACACTTAGCCTTAAAGCTATAAATGAAAAGATCACACGGATTACAAGACGAAGAGAAATATACTTCAAAAGTGCTTCCATCAGAAATTTAAACACAACCGTATTATTGACTTCGTTTCTCTGATATGGGAAGTTTTAATTGATTATGTTCACCATC